TATCAAATAGGGCAGAGGTTCCCAAACTGTGGGGCGCGCCACCTAAGGGGGGCGCCGTGCCATTGCAGGGGGGGCACGGGAAGCCGTCTGGATGAAAAAAAAAACAAAAGCATGAACGCTATATGCGCTGGGTTTTTACATTAGAATGGCCAACTCTCTGTTATTTCTATGTCAATTTGATACAGTAGAGGCTTCCACACTTCCCATATTTGTGTCCTCTGTCACTTTTATCAGCAGTTAAAACGGTTTAATCCGTTGTTAATATGCCGTAACCTGTTTTTCCGAGCCGTTGGAGGCTGCAAAAGACTTTGGACTGGAGCAGTGGCTCACTTTCGAACATTAGCATACAGCCAGGGCTGAAATAGAATGATTTAGATCCAGGAGTGTTGACTACTGATATGACTTAAAGATGGACAATTCAACTTAGATGTATCAAAATGGTAGAGATATACTCACAAAAAAAACCCTGGAAGTATAATTTTACAAAACGTATTATACGATGTGTTCCAGGGGATGGACTACTTGCACTCAAAGCGCTATGTGCATCGAGATCTTGCTGCTCGAAATGTTTTGGTGGAAAACCAAAACGTTGTAAAGATCGGAGACTTTGGCCTGACAAAGTACATCCCAGAAGGAGAAATCTACTATCGGGTTCGTGAGGACGGAGACAGTCCTGTCTACTGGTCAGTTCATGCACCATGTAAAAGTGATACTTTGTGTGTTTTTAGCACTTAGATTTGCATGCTTTGCACTTTGCAGGTATGCCATCGAGTGCTTGAAGGAGCTCAAATTCTCATTTGCCTCTGACGTCTGGTCGTTTGGAGTTACACTGTATGAGATCCTGACTCGCTGTGACCATCGCCAGAGTCCTCCAGCTGTATGTTGTGAACGGACTCAGCTCAAACAAAATACAAGAACAGTCAGAAAAAAAATTGCATTCTGAGTCTGAAAAGAATGTCTTTTTTCCTGTGTGTGTTTTTGTAGAAGTTCATTGAAATGACAGAAGATAAGGAAGAACACATGAACGTGGTGAAACTCATAAAACTGCTGGAGAGAAATCAAAGGTTGCCTTGTCCCAGAGATTGCCCACATGAGGTAACATTAAATAACCCATAATGAAGAAATGTTATTAAGGGTGCAATAGTGTTAGTTTTTCAAAGTCATTAATATTATCACAGTTTTGTTAAAAAATATTATTATGAGCTGTCATAATTCAAAATACTTAATGTTGCACTTTCTAGCAAGCTCACAATACTAGTGCACCCAGTATTAAGGTTATTATGATCACTTAAAGCTGTGGTACTTAACTTCTATACTACAAAAACACAAAATCTAACTAAGTAATGTTTGTCTAGTTTCTAGTGCAAATACTTTAGTGCACTTCATATAAGACAAACTAGCTTAGATATATTGTTTTATTTTAAGTAAATAATTCCTTAATATTGATGAAAAAGTACTTGTTCCATTGGCAGATAAATGAACTTATAGCACAAGAAAAATTAATTGCAAGTGAAATAATCTGCAAATGGAACAAGTACTTTTTCATCATGACTCATTATGGAGACATTCACTTAAAATAAGCCTTTACATCTTGCTAAAAAGTTACTTTTAAGTTAGTTTTGTCTAATTTGAAAGAGAAATTTGCTCTAGAAACTAGACCAAAGATGCTTTTTAAGATTTAATGTTTTCCAGTGTGCAAAAAGAGTTTTTTTTTTTTTTTTTTTCACATATATGCTAATTCTGTTGCTTTGTCCTGACAGTACAATATAAGACAGTCTGTGAATAAAAATCTGGTTCCTCTGCCTCCACCCTGTAGTCCGACAACCATCTGCAGAAATGTACCTGTCAGAAACAAACGATCAGAGGCAAGAGGGATGTCTTAGTACTCTCAATCATGGTTGTGTACTCGCTGCTCGATGTAATCAATCTCAATCTCAATCTTGCCGGCTTGCTGCAACTGTGCTAATGGCAGAGAAACAATTTACAGTCACTGAAAACTGTTTATGGTGGCCATGTTTGCTTGCCTGCACATTAATGAAAGGGTACGGTGTGGGAAAGGAGGAGCAGTAGCGCAAGTGAAGGGGGGTATATGAGCAGCATGTCCACGAGCATAATTGACAGTGGTAAGACATTCCTCCTGGCTCTGAGGCTCTGATTGGTTGTTTCTAGTCGGGGGTGGTGTATTTTTGCAGATGGCAGTTGATCCACAGGGAGAAGGCAGCGGAGCTTGCAGCTGAAGCCACAGGGTTATTTGTGTTATCTTATTCTCCTTGTGATGAAAATTATTTTCAAAAAGCCTTTCTTGCAAAGTTATGGTGTGCAAAATTCGACACAGTTTAAGATCTCTGTGCTCTTTGATGATTAAAATATCCCTGCATTTTGTATTACTTGGTCTCATGAAACCAAATCTATGCCTTTGAGTACAAAAATATAACAGTTACGTGTGTCTTTTAAAAATACAGCGTTTGTTTGAGTGGTTCAGGATCTTCTTTGTTTTTCCCTTCCCAGGTGAAGCTGTTGATGGATCAGTGTTGGGATGCAAATCCTGAAAATCGGCCTACGTTCAGTAACCTCATCGAAAGGTTCGAGTCAGTACGAAAGATGTTTGACTGGTCGTTCAGTCCCATGTCTCAGATTTGCTGAGTGGAGTCAGTGAAGATCCATCAGATTAGTTGTTGATGCTCAAAGTGTAGCCATATCTCTCACTTAAAGTGTATAGTTCTTGATTCATCTATTTATAAAGATGTCTTCCTATGTTTAAAACTGTAAAGTACACACATATGCTCTGATGTCTGTAGGCAAGGTGATACAGAACAGTCTTCTGTCCTCACATAGTTAAGCATCATGTTAAAAGCGGAGGCTTTGAGTGGTTAAAATAAATATCTTGTTGTTGCTATGCAGGCTTTCATTCATCAGGAAGTTGGTATTTCTGTGTTTCGTTTTTATCCTCTGTACATGTTTAAGTGTTTGTTCATTTTGCATGCAATTTTGAAAAAAAAATAGCTAGAAATCAACTAAATCCTTTTCAGTCTTTGCTTTTATTAAAGCTGAAATATATTAACTGTGACTGTTGAACTAAATTATATTACAATTTTACATTTCACTGTTGTAGGTTACAAGACAGGGAGCAAATTAACAAAGAACCAGTCTATGGCAGCCAAAAGCTCTACAGGGTGTTTTATTACAATCCCACCTGATACAGAAAAATATGTGCGCAATTAGTTACTCACTTTCTTATTTGAAGGACATGAGGACAGAAACGATTATGCATGTTCGTTACTAAGCAAAAGACTATAGCTCAGGTGGCACTGAAGAAACAAAACTGAAGGGATACCAGGCATTATTTTACTAATACTGTGGTAAAAAAAAAACATCCGTTCTTTAAAATTAATACTTGAGTGCATAATTTTAGCACCTTAATGCACCCTTTCTGGATTGCAAGGTCCCGTGCTGGCACAGGATTGTTCCTTCGTGCCATTTCTCTGTGTGAAGTATTTTTTTTGTCCTATTCTTCTAAAATGAAAAGAAAGAAGTTTCAGATTTCTTCTACATTGCTTTTCAGGAATTGATATCCCACTACAATCTGTGTGAAGGAAAACCCACTTTGGATAAAGACAGTACTGTTGGAAAGTGCACACAACCTTAACAAAACACAATACTTTATGTTAAAAACAAGATATCTATCATTCCTCTTTTTCATCACAGCATTGCGGTATTCATTTTCAATGCAACCAGTTGCAGTCTCAAACAATGGAAAAAGTAGAAACTTTTCTCTGTAGTGTTAACCTGGTTCTCCTGCTGTGGAACAGGTCAGTACGACCCTGTGAGGTGAAACAGTGGGAGCTTTCTGAACTCTCAGCCACTAATTGAAGGATTTTTGTTGTCCTTTGTGAATGTCTGTCGGTTCATCCACCTGCCATGAGCCACAAAAAATGTATTTTATGGTTTTCTTCACGCTTTTGAAAAAAATAAACTGGTATATATTCAAATTTAATCAACAAACAAATACACAAAGAAACAAGATAAAGTACGTAGTAAAAGACTGGAGAGATTATTATTTTAATATCCATTTAAAATGACATAATTTTAAAAGGAATTAGTTATTAGTCTTTCTTTAGTTATTTGAAAAGTCATGTCTCCTGGTAAGATTTTTACAATGATCATGAAAAGGAGCAATTTACTAGACATACAGGGACAAGAAAAGAGACATAAATGCTTGGAAAAGCAGGATAAGCTATCAGAAACATTCATCATAATTTGTGAATAAGACCAAAGCCCCCTGAACATCTGAAAAAAAGAGAAAAGTTTTGCCTAGGAAGAATAGAAGTATGGGTATCCATGACTTACACTTATCCAGTCCAACCAGTTAAACCTGGGTTTGAAGACTGATCACCTCCTGCCACATTACACTACAACAATTTATTCAAAAGGAGCCTCTACGAAGTTTAGAGGACATACTTTATACTTTATAGTAGACATACTATGCATAGTATGTAACTAACTTCTTTGACTTTTTATGTTACAATTATTTGGGATGCTTCAAAATTAGCAATATTCAAAACATTCTACTTTTCTGAAAATGTTGATTTTTGGGTTTCATGAGCCATAATAAGGCATTAAAATAAACAGAAATAACACTTGACTTATATCTCCATGTAATTACTATTTATAGCATTTAAGTATCACATCTGTATCTTAACTGACTGGGATCAATAAAACATTTTTGAATAGAAATAATTAAACTTTCCAACAATATTCTCATGTATTAAGTTTCACCCTTCGGTTTCTAAACTAACCCTATCTGTGGATACATTGACAGATTTGTAATTATAAACACTATGTCAGATTTGTTCTCTCTTTTTTTTTTTAAGCAACGGGGTTTTTTTTAATTGCTACGAAACTACAGTACCTTATATAACAGGTGGTATGCTAGTTGGAAGCGTCGCCCCGCCCCCACGGCACGTTGCGTCGTAGTCATGGAGAATGCGTTCCCCGCTCGTCCAATGAGAAGCGTCGCTGGGTCCATGTGTGTATTGTTTAAACTGCTCAAAATCTGACCGAGTTTCAAGCCCGATTAAACCTCCACCAAACTCCGGCTATGGCGGCTGCCGTGTCTCTCAGCACCACCTCAGACACGGATGAAGGCGCAGACAGCGGGGCCACATTTGTCTCTCGACCATTTAGCGCAAATCACGACCTCGCTACGGATAAAGAAAACTTTATGGCCGGTGACCGTCAACGTTACCCCGAATTAGCTTCGGTGGAAGAAGACGCCACATCGGGCCCAGAATGTCAACGAAGGGTCGATGAGGATTTGATACCACTGAGCCCTGAAGATATTGAGAGCCGCTTGGAGAGAACACGTCGGGAGTTTTACAACCGTAGGAAAATAATAATAAAAAATTTACCACCGGATGTTACTAATCAGGTAAATGTGAAACTTTGCATGCTTTAATGAGCAGTTTGACTAAACGTTAACCTAGCTCCAATATGCCTATCATGCTACGAATGTTAGCTTGCTAACCTTTTAACCCTGCCTATTAACTTTTGCTGACGTAATGTGTAGGCTTAGTCTGCGACTGTCTACTTATGACCAAAAAGTATCAAATTTATTCTGAAAGTGTAATTGGGTCATATACACAGTGACATGTCTGAAAAGACTGCAATTTACTTCAAAATGCCCGGTGATAAGATCGCTGTTTGGGCAAAAGTGGTCATCTGTGGCCTGTTTCACCAACTTAGCAACTTTTCATATTTGGGGTTTCCCAGGTCAAATTAACAAGACAAGGTAAAACGGGTGTTTTACTTGTTTCACGTAGCAGTCTTAGTCTGTCATTGATGTTTTGTCGTATTTTTAAATCTATTTTTAGTTTGGAACGTGCCTGACTCGTGGGGAGCTGTAGGCCTGCGGGCAGTACCATTGTCCACAGGCAGTGGGGGGGGGGAGGGGGCAGCACAGGGAGTTCGAGATGTGAGGGTCCTGTAACAAAAGGTGGAAGGCGTAGAGACAAAACGAGTCAGAAAATGCTAGAGAGCGTCAGTATTTGTTTGTGAATGGGCAAAAGCAATGCAGAATTTCTGCCTCAACAATGAGGCAGTTGCCCCTCCACTCCCCTTTCTTTCCACAGGTGCACTAGTTTAACTGTGGACGTGAAAGAGTTAATTGTCAGGCTCAAAATCTCAATTTCAGCACTTCAACCCGTGTATCACAGCCTGCGTGCTTCTCACAGGAAAAAAACCCCACTGAGGTTTCATTTTTTGTAAAGCTTTGTTATTGAAGACACTTCTTTCTAATGTTTTTTATGTTCTGTAAATGTTTATTCACAGGAGGTCCATGATCTGTTGGGAAACTATGATCTGAAGTACTGCTTTGTTGACAAATACAAGGGCACAGGTTGGTTTAACTTATTATTTTGGTGAATAAACCCCTCAAACTAATATCCAAACGCTAGTATAATCCATTCATATTTAACTGTTTGCTGTAGTGCAGCTGATCATAGTTTGTTGGCGATATTTTGAAGTGTTTCGTGATAAATTTACTTTGAAGCACCTTATAGAAAACTTACAAATGTTGATGGGTTAGAATAATTTAATTTGGTCAAAACTGTGCCTCCTATTAATCTTTAGCTACGTTTCCTTTATGTTTTAATGTTTTGGGAGCATCTTTTTTTTTTCCCTCTTACATGTATTGTTTCTCATATTTAATTTTTCACATGCAGACTTGGACTGAGCATTCGTAAGACTGTAATGTCCCTCTTGGATTAATAAAGCATTCAGATTCTGAAATTATAAGCGTCAGTTATGGATGCAAATTTAGCTAAAAATGCATGTCCTCATTCGTTTAATAAGATAATTTACCTGGGCTGGATACACAAACCTAAGACTATTATGTTTCTGAATGAACTATTAGAAAGATGCCTACACACAACTGTTGATTATATAGTATTGTTCAGCCTATATTTAGTTTAAAAATATTGTTGCTGTTCTGGACGGCTTCTTAAATTTGAGAAACCCATCAGTTCTCTTGTCAAAAGTAGCCTGCGGTTCAAAGCTGTGACTTTCAACCAAAGTAAAACCTTATTTCTCACATTCATTCAAAAGTTAAATTGATTAAGGTTTATTCTTATTCATCTATGAGTGAAGTCATGGCCAGTATATTTTGGTTTTAAAATGTGCAGACAAAATAAAGAGACCCTGTTCAACGTCAACTCAAGTAACTGAGTTTTGCAAACTGTCAATTAGTTGTGGGTGTCTTCTCTACCTCCTTAGTGCCTCCAGAACATGACTCTGCCACTACCATGCTTCAGTGGTGATGAAGTGCCATGTTTGCCAAACAGTGTTTTTAACCAAAAAGCTTGACGTTTGTTTCAACCTTCTTCTGATTGACCCAGAATCTCCCACATGCCTCACCCAAATGCATGTATTTTTTATTTTATTTTATTTTTTTTACATTAGTGGTAATCTGGACATCTCAGGTGTGTTTTTTGTTTTGTTTCTTTTATTCTATCTTCACATGATGCACACAAACTGCTCTTGGGAAATGTGTCTTGCCAACAGTAGCGCTTCTGTTGACTTGAGCCAGACACTTTTAAAAAAAAAAATACTTTTCTGTATTTTGATAATGGACTTAAATTTGTAAAACAGTCAAGCCTTATTCATTATTTTTAATATACATTCCTGGTTATAGATCAAGATTATATATTTTATTGATAGGTAATAAAATATGACCTTTATCAATAATGCTACTTTTATTTTGTTGGTCAAAAGGTGAAATTCTTTGGGAACCACAGATCCAGTTTGTTTTTGTGTCGAATCAAATTACTAAATGTCTCTTTATTTCCAAAAGCTTTATGTAGGAGTAGAACTTTTCATATCTTATCCTTAGAAACATTTAAGGTACTACTAACTGCCTTCCTCTACACACTGTGGTGTTTAATTTGTTTGAAAAGTCTAGTTTTTATATGTACCGCAGCCTTTAGGTTTATATTGTGCTCTGTATAAAAAAAGTTTGATTACAGTATTAAAGATGAGCATCAAAACTAGTAAGGCACAGAGGGAAATGGCTTCAGAATCAAACGACTTGAACATAAAAACCTTGGTTAAAATGCCCAGTGTGTTCCAGTAAGTCATCATTATGGCAGCCATAAACTCCCTTTGTCACGATTTTCCCTCTGCTTTGTCATAAATTCAAATAAAGCTGCATTATCAGTGTCTGTGTGAGCTGCATCCCTAACAAGGAAGAGAGGAACTTTGATGAAACAAACGGAAAGATGCTTGCTTTTTACTTGTTTTTTTTTGCAGTCGCAAAGCCATGTCTCCAGAAGGTTGACAGTAATAATATTGGGGGGGAAATGAATGGCAGTGGTGAAGATGGTGACTGCACTGTAGCTGCCAAGCTGTTGCAAGGCCGTTAAAATTTTATTTTCACAATATCAGAAGTCTGCCACTTTGGATAAAGTGAAGGTCAACAAAACTACAACTTTTCACGTCCTGATGTGGCTGTCGTTGACACTGAGTCGGCTGTCAGTCTCGCTGAGAGCAGTAAGGTTGCTCTGGCAGAAGAGACGGTGTCGTCTGACATTTTGCCAACAGCGTCGTCTTTTATCTGACAAGCTTAAGAGAAAACGGTGTCAACAGCGGGGTTCGCAGCTTGAATCTGTGTTTGAATAGCTTCGTCTTTGTTTTTATTTCTGATTTTTACGTGTTTTATTTGGTTTACACATCAATCCCAGTTTTTTTTCTTTTCTCCCCACCCATCTCTCCCAGCATTTGTGACTCTCCTCAACGGTGAACAGGCCCAGTGCGCCATCAAGGAGTTCCACCAGATAATACTGCGGGAAAGGGAGATCTCCGTGCAGCTGCAGCCGACCGACGCCCTGCTGTGCATCGCCAACCTGCCCCGGGCCTTCACCCAGCAGCAGTTCGAGGAGCTGGTGCGACCTTTCGGCAACCTGGAGCGCTGCTTCCTGGTGTACAGCGCCTCTACTGGTCACTCCAAAGGCTACGGCTTCGTGGAGTACATGAAGAAGGACTCGGCGGCCAGAGCGAAGTCGGAGCTGCTCGGGAAGCAGCTGGGCTCCCGCATGCTCTACGTCCACTGGACCGAAGTGGGCTCGCTCACATACCCGCAGCTGCACTCAAAGTGTCTGTGTGTGGACCGGCTGCCCCCGAGCCTCCTGACCGCCCAGGACCTCCGAAACGCTTTGGCCGACACCCATTCTCCGGTTTTCTGCCAGGTCAGGTTCAGGACGCACAAACACTCTGCTACTCGTCAAGATAATAAATTCATTAACTTATTCCTCCTTTTCTCTCAACAACAATAATGAGCAGATTTGGGGGAAAAAATGCTTTTGAAGTTTCATTGTTCTATTATATTTGTTTTCAAGGTCAGGTGATATGTTTTGGAAGCTTAGTGAAAAGGGCTATGCTTGTGACAAGTTGACCCTGAGGGTGTTGGAATAATTTTAATTTGTTCTAATATTGTCCTTTATGCTTGGTCTTGTAGCATCTTTCACTGTTGCCCTAGTTTTTATGTGGTTCCTGGGTTTCTATAGCGATAGGGCAGAGTTTGCTGGTAAAGACCAACAGGATCAGCTGGTGTCCTTCATATGATTCTCTCTCTCTCTTTTTTTAATTAATCACAAAAAGGTGGAAACATTTAGTAGAAACATAAATTCAAAGCTAAACATTAGTGTATGTGCAAAAGTACGATTTCAATGCACAGGTTGGTGGTAAACAAAAATTGTACTCGAATACGGAAAAAAAAAAAAATTGCATCATTAGACGTACCAAAATGTAGTTATGTGGAAATTGTGGCATTTTAAAGATCAAATTGAAAATGTACCTAAATAACATGACTACAAAATGAGGGAAAAGAAACTATTTTTTATTATTTTTGTTAATGTTATGAAGTTTTAACCAAACGCAAGTGAAAGTATAAATTACAGCATAGTAAAAATACTCAAGTAAATGTAATAAATCAGTCACATCTGTTTATATGCGACTGATTTTCAAGATATAATGAAGAACCGGCTCAAACGAGTCTGTTGTGAGTTTGACCTGTCATTCAGTTCAATAAATGGCACAAAATGATTAGTCCATATGCTGGCAGTAGATCTCCGGGTTGGTTTTACCTTTGGACTTTCTCTCCATAGTTGGCTCAGGGGCAAGATGGGAGTTTCCGGCGTTTCGCCGTGCTGGAGTTCGCCACTGCGGAGATGGCTGAGGTGGCGCAGCGATTTGGAGACGGCCGGCTGCTGGGCGGGACGCACATCAGGGTGTCCTTCTGTGCCCCCGGCCCTCCTGGAAGAAGCATGCTGGCTGCACTGATCGCTGCCCAGACAACGGTACTATGGGAAAATTTGTGTACACTGGCCACATGGTCAGTCGTAGGAATCACTGATATGCACTTAGGATTTTATCGCAATATCTTGCGGTACTACTGTGATAACAAAGACTATTCAAAAAAAAAAAAATTAAGAGTTTATTTTTAGATAATAGTTTTGCAGGATGGTGACTGCATGGCACAGCATTCATAGCATCAAAAATATTCTTGAAAAATCATTCTCATCTGAAATGGGCTGCAGGATGCTGCTTTCTTAAAAAAAAAAACAAAAAACGTTTGATTTATTTCACCAAGCTGAGCTCAGTAACTGCATTTAATCTAATATTTTCAAATTTACTGATGTTTGTGGAGAAAATATCAAAATAAAGTGTCTGACCATATTGTCAGTTTTGTTTTACTTAACATCAATAACTGAAATTTATCACGACAAACAATAAATCAAAATTCTTATAAGAGATTTTTCGCAGTGCAGTCAGTTTTTTTTTTTTTTCCCCCTCTGGTTTTTTTGTTTCCTGATCGTTTTTCTTCTTCTTCCTACCTGCAAGGCTGTGAACAGGGGTAAAGGTCTCCTCCCTGACCCCACAACCATGCAGATCCTCACCAGCCTTAATAACCCTGCTGCTCTCAAGATGCTGCTCAATGTTTTGTCACAGGGACACAAACAGGGTAAGCTGTCCTCCCCCTCAGCTCTTTATCGGTTAATTTTCAGTTTATTGATGGTGTTTACTTGCAGGTCTCCTCGGAGCGGCCCCTGCCATCCCACTGCTGCCCAACCCCGCCCTGTCGGCGGCCCTGCTGCAGCTGCTCCTCCAGAACCAAGCTAAAGCCCAGCAGGTACCCTTACCTTTTGGCCTCCGCCCTGATGCCATCTCTCCTCTTGCTCCTTCATCTTCTGTTTGATTCATCTTCACCCCTCCTCCTCCTCTCTGTTCTGCTCCTCTGTGCCATTAGCAAGCCTTTCTGGGAAATCATCTTCTCTGGGCTCAGGTGCTGCACAGTAAAGAGAAGAAAAAAAAAAAATATATAAATTCCTGTTGTGGTTTGTGTGAGTGATGATGGTGTGTGAGGTGGAGGCTGGAGCTTGATGGGTTCCAGCCGTTTTTTAGGTAAAAAGGGACAGATTTGTCGTGGTCGGTAAGCTCTCTCGGGAAGAGTGATGTTGTGGGTGTGCTTCTCTATTATACGCCTGGACTGTCAAACGCTGATATTTGAGGGAGAAGTTGGTGAGTGAACGTAAAACCTGGTTTTAGTGTGTTGCTGTGCGTCTGCAGTTTTTCCTCTGAGTGCTGCAGCCATGTTGGGTGACCCTGTGGTAACACTGGTCTGTCCTTTTGGCCAGCAGGCAGGACTCATCGGGGACAATCCTCTGGCTGCTCTGCCCGTCCAGCAGGGAGTCCATCTGCTTGGAGAGCTCCCTCAAGGTTTGGCATCTTTCACTTCCAGCCGGAGCTCCTTGAGCGACTAATGACATGTTTTTGCTTTTCATCTGATTATAAACATCTGTATCCTCTTATTCATGCATCACACTTCTAGCGTTTGCCAATGCTGAAATATCCTGATTAATCAGTTCTAATCATACTTCAGGAATCGGCATTCAATAGCGGAACAATACTGAGTAGCTTCAATGTATTCGTACCCTTTAAGTCTTTTTCTTGAATGTAATTTGCTGTGATCTTGTGATAGGACAACAAAGAAGGGGATAGCTGTGATGCAGAAGGATTTTGTTTGTATTTGGGACCTTCTTTAAGCTGATGTGCTTGTTTTCTAAAGGAGGAAATGTCTTCCACCAGATGCTGTTGTTTTACAACAATAAGAACTTCTTGCTAGCATGTATCCCAGTAGCTCTTCATTGGGGTTGGTCTGTTTTGATTGCTGCAGGCGGTGTGGTCCCAGGTCTGGCTCTGCAGACGGAGGCTGTGCCCTCTCTGAAGCCAGGGTCTCTTGGCAGAGGCCTAATGAGGGAGCAGGATTCCCCCACATCAGTGTGCGGCTTCCCTCAGACTCCCTCTCCCTCCCTGCCAGGCATTTCCTTACCCCTGATGGGTGGCATGATGGGGGCAGATGGCCGCACAGCACAAGGAGTATGTTTCAAAGTAGATTTTTATATTTTTTTTTTTTGTTCAATTCTCGTCTAATTGTGCGAGAATTGAACAAAAGCCCTTCTCCTCACCGCTAGGTATCGATGCTAGGGGATCTTCCTAAAGAGATGAACTTTCCTCAGAGCGCCTTTCTCAATGCCAGTGTTTATCCTTCAGGTGAGATGCCATATTTTATTTCATTTTATTTTTTTTTTTCATTTAAATATGTTCATGTGCAAGGCAAGCAGTCAGCCATACGCGTTGGGCTCATGTTTCCCTTCGCTGCAGCAGCGAGCAGCAGGCCTCACCCCTACAGGAAGCGGCCAACACTAAGCAACGTGTCTAACCAGCACACGCATCACAACATGCAGCCCAACTACAACCTGCGTTACCAGGACTCCTACAGCCCCGAGTATCCTCCTCCTCTACAGCAGGTGATCACCTCTTCCTGCCCTTCGTTTGAGTTTGACATGAATAGATGTCGCTTGGCCACTAGTGGTTCTTTCTGCACATTGCTGCTCAATTACGGGTCTATATGATGTAATTTGGTCTGATGCCCATCTGCTGCTTCTCCTCAGGATGCTCTGGCCTACTCGTACGAACAGCAGGAGAACCTCTGCGTTGGAGCCTTGGCAGGATTTGGTCAGCAGGTAGTGTGTGTGTGTGTTCAGCTTTTTCAACCTAATCTAAGGCATTTTTTTTTTTCATTCATTAAAAGTGAATTCAGCATATTCATCAGTTTTTTATTTTATTTATTTATTTATTTTTTTTGTTGGAATTTCTTCAGTTTTCCCGTCAACCTGACTACAGTGAGCGGTTTCCCCACTACGCTGATCCAAGCAGCCCACCCCTCTCCTCGTACTTCAGCTCAGGACCAGAAGCCAGCAGCCCGCCTGCCACCCACCTCAACAAGGTAACCAGCAAAACCCGATCAGTTTCTGTTTGAAGTATCGATCACCTGTCAGTGCCTGGATGTGAAGAATGAGGCTAATAACAGGATGCCAGTGTTTAATGATTAACATTGCAGTGTGAGGGTAAGTGAGAAATGCGTGTTTTTTTTTTGTCTGCAGGCTGTGGGAATGCCTCCAGGAACCCACAGCGCCCCCTACCCTCCAGACGTAGGGAACGTTATGAAGGTAATTGGCAGATGGTCTCAAACCGTTTTTTCTTTACAGGTGTTGGTTTTATAAAAAAAAAGCTGTTCTTTACCATTTTCCTCTGTTATTTCTAGACCCCGATGAATAGCCAGAAGCGCGTTTTTTCCCGGCTCATCCCGTCTCCGGAGCCGAGCCCAGAGGGAGGCTACGTGGGCCAGCATTCCCAAGGCCTCGGCGGCCATTACGCAGACTCCTACCTGAAGCGAAAGCGTATATTCTGAGTATTGTACGTTGAGCCATTTATGCGTTTGGAACAAAGCGGCATCTCCTTGTAAAGGACGCAAACTCCCTCACCCCGGGTCGTCCTCGGCTCTGTTTGCTCCTCAGTGACCCCCGGAGGGCGCTGGCGAGCACAGCTTGTTGTCTGGACAGTGGGAACTCTATATGGTGTGTGGGTTTTTTTTCTGTTCTTCTCTGCTCCATGTAAGTGTGTTTTTATTTACCGTTTTGTAAATTAACTTTTAAATTCTTTTATTTTGTGTTTAACTTGTACAGTGAGGGAAAAAAAAAGTAGCAAATGCTTTCTTTTCTTTTTTTTTTTTTTTTTTTGCATGAAGTGTGATGTGCTAGTAGCTACAGATTGTTTTGGCCAGTTTACAGCGCTGCTTCTTGAATATTTGGCTGTTGTACTGTTCACACTTTCCAAAGGGACATGCAAAGTATTAAAAAAAAAACAAGCTTTATCTCAGGCTTTTTTTTTATAATTGCCTTTAAAAAATGTAAAAAGTTCAATATTTTTTTCCTTCTACCACATGGTTTTGTATTTTACTGTAAAACTGGTTCCAGGCAGGTTCTTCTTTGCTCAACATGCAGCTTTCCATCCACCAATGTTGAGTTGGGTGTGTCTGATGTATTATAAAACAGCTGTGTGAGTCTGGGAATGTTTTTTTTTTTTTTTTTTTTTTTCTGAGGTCTCTCACATTGTTCTTCTGGTTTCCAGAATCTGTTTTCAGCACTGGTTGTCCACCTGGGAGGGCACAGGTCACTGTCCTAACCTATTCTCACCTCTAGACGATAGTTTCTTACTCATCTCTCCACAAATCATTAGTTTTCTTTGGGTGGGGGCAGGATTAAAAAAAAAAAATTTTTTTAACTTGTTGGTATAGTTTAATGACTGGACCAACTGTAGATGGAAACATTTTATGCTATCATCAGGTTGGACAACTTGTCTTGATGAGCTTTAAATATTGGAGGCAGCCTGTTTGTTTCCATTCAGTCTGGGGACATGCTAATGGAAACTAATCACTGGTTAGTCTAAAACATAACTGTCTTTTTATTCTTCAAGTAATTTATGGTTGACGGTTTGATTGTGAAAACCCATTACCTCGTACTTCTGCTATAAATGCAGCTATACTTGAGCCTTAACGTTTTCTGTAGTAATCATCCTACGCTGTTGGCTTCCATCTAAATTTTCCATTTCTGTGTTGTTTGCTGTGTAAATAGTTGAAGCCTGATTTCTTTTTAGAGTCCTGAACGTATTTTCTTTATTCCTACCTGTGGGCAGGTTCTTGTTTTTTTTTTTTTTTTTTTTTTTTTAATTTTTGAATCAATTTTCCTGCTTTGTGTTTCGGTTGTCGTGCTTCCAGTATGTTTGAAAAAGTGACGTTTTAAAGTGTGGCACCACAGCAGACTGTTCATGTTGTGTATGGACCAAGAGATGCAGCTTTTTACTGTGTTCATCGGCCGATTTTACAAAGTATTTGCTTCAACTGCTGTGTCCTCATCTGTACCACCATGATTGCCTCTGTATGTTAGTGTGACATGCGCAAGTAAATGTTATTTAAATCAATTGCACTTTGACTGATCATTTTAAAGGTAGCAAACTTTGGTATGTTACGATCAAAATAAACTTGACCCGATGTGTCCAAAAGTTGGAAAATTTATTTAATGACTTTTTCAGACAAGTTCAAAGACTTTTTCAAACTTATACTGATAAGTTTTGTCCTTCAATTCTGATACATATATATTTTTAAATGCATTTTTCATTTAATCTAGTTGCAATTCTGTCATACCTCTCCAATAGGGCCAAATAACATCTGCTATATTAAGCATTCAAATATACAATTTACATAATAACACTCAAAATCTGAGCTCTCGAAGTGCTTGCCAAACCAAAACACTGATACTTAAAATATGTAAAAAAAAAAAAAAAAAACTGGAGTCTTCCTACTCGGTATGAGAAGCCAAAATAGAAAAAACACTGGTGCTTTTGTTCTGACATAGAACAGCAAAACACATTCTCTTGTACACATTGTCATTTCTCTTGTCTTGCAGATGAACATATTTTCATCCTGAAGCCTTTATTTTTTGGGAACTCTGATAAATATGTCTGAAACAAAACTCTTTGTAAAATGTATCTGAATTCAAATCCAGCCTGATTCAGCTGGGTTGCTTTGATGATTTTGTGAAATTTTGATTGAATCCGTTAAGTCAACCCCGTTTATTAAAGCTTTTAATCTGTAGAGAACGTGGAGCATATGTCGCCTCTTGCTAGTTTTATATCTTTGAACATTAATGGTGCCTTTCCAGATGTGCAATTTGCCAGGTTTCAGGCACTAAGACCATGATGTACTGACTTCTTTCTACAGGTAGCACCGATAACGAGGCAGATGGTTCCTCTGCGTAGACCTTCACAGAAATTTTGATTTGACACTTTATCTTGATAAAACTTTGCACAGCAAAATGCTGCAACACTTCTCAGTCTTGTTCTGCTTCTGCTTTATTCTATTAATCATTTCAACATTTCTGGTTAATGCACAGAAAAGAGCTTAGTGTTTGTTTTACACAGACACACATATTACATCTTTCTATCATCACAATGACTTTTGAGAGGACTTCTGCTCATTCCTCATGAAAAATGGGAGAAAAATGGGCCTTACAAGGAGATAAATGCTAAAATAAACACACACACACACACATCACCCCAGCACAGTTTTCATTTCTCCAGTGGACAGTCTCCCTCCTTTGGCTCTCAGAGCTGTCCTAGTGGGGCCCGTCATGCTGTGGGTGGCCCCTGCTCCAGATCTGGTCTGAGGCAGACTCATCTTACAAATGCAAAATGGCACCAGTCACAACATCCAAGCACACCAAATTAAATCCTTTGCCTGGTGATCCATTGCTTGCCCTTGGATCCTCTTCTCTCTGTGCATGGCAGGGGACTGACACAGCTTTTGCCACCCTATTGTCGTATTTTTTCGTCTTTTGTTGTTGACATTTAAAGATCTGGTGCTATTTCTAGAAGCATTTTAGTTTGGCATTTCTTTAAGTCATTTTTGCTGTTTTTTTTTTTTTTTTTTTTTTTTAATGGGGTTTCACAAATCCAAGGTGCATTTTAAAGAATCTAAAATCTGTAGAAAATATTTCAGTTCATGTTTTTTCTGATTTTTTCCCCCCAGTTAACTATTATTCATCCTGAAATTTTCCAGCTTGTGTCACCTTCAGGTTGTGTAGATGCCCACAAATTATTGAAAATATACATTTTGATTGTTGTGTTTTATTTTTTTATCAGTTTAGTGTGGAGATAGTACATTGAGGCATAACCATACTAGGATTTTTGTTTCTGAGCTACGTCTGATCAATCAGGGCTGCTATAGCTAATTATCCATTGGCATCAATATTTTTTGTCAATATTTGTTTTTTTTTTTAATTTTTAAAAACTTTTTTTTCTTTTTTTTTTACGAAAGTTTCCTTCGAATCATTGTGATAAGGAGTGAAGAAAGTTACTACATCCCATTCTAATTTAATTGTACAGATAACACACCCAAATTTAGATTTGATAAATTAATGAATATTAGTAATTCCACTGTTAGGTTTTATATTAAAATATTTAGGACATTATTTTTATTTATTCATTTATTTATTTATCTGAATGATCAGTGTTCTACTTTATCCACTTAAGGTATTTAAAAAAAAGTGGAATTCCAAAAATTAAAATACAAAAACTAGTTAGTGTATTTATGTTATAGTATACTATAAATAAGATGTTGTTTTGTTTTACATAGATATAAAATTTAAAAATTAGTTGATAAATTGATTTTAAACAGTTGGTAATGACAGTCTGCAATGAAATGTAGTCCAGATCTAACTAGCACTACATATTGTACTTAAACTCTACATAATAAGCAACAAACAGATCCTTATTCCGCCCCCTGACACTACGGCTCCCTGAGTGGGGAGCCATATTACCTAAGGTCACAAAACTCCCATGTTGTGCATCATTGCAGTGGCACTTATTTTGCATTTTAATGTTATTGTGAAGCTTCTCGTCGATCGCTGTTGGGCTGCAGCGACAGCTTGCAAGAGAAAGGGATTAATGATTTGGAAGCTTCTGTTCTCAGTTTATGTCGGGGCTTCAGAAAATAAAATGTGTGCCTCGATGTTTTGATACTGATTTTGCGAACTCAGTGTCGTGACTGGAAATGATCGACTGAATCTATCCAGTAGAGGTAGAGCTACACATCCGTTTTTGTTGTCTTACTTAATGAATTGCTACACGACTTAATGCTCGATTATCAAATCTGATTCAGCCACTGCTGAGGTCCCTAAACCGTGTACTCAATTTGCAACGCATGTCTCGTTTCGTACTAATAGATCCTAATAGTGCTTCATTGATGTGAATGTGACCTGTCTGAATGTTAAGCAGGTTCCCTCAAAGAGGATAATTATTTAACAAACTCACTAATCAGCTACCGAGGCTGATAACAGGTTGCTTAAAAAAAAAAAAAAAAAAAGCAACTGAAGTTGAACTTGTCAAAATGAGAGAGAGCCTAAACACGATTCTCTGATTAGAAAGCCTGATGACATTCAGATATGAAAGGGAGGGGTGTAAAAAAAAAAAAAAAAAAACTAAGTGAGGCAACTGCTTTAAATGTCACCCATGCTCTCACAGGCCCAATATTTTTTTGCATACTCTGGCAATGATGGCGGGTCAATGCAGATCTTATCAGGCAGAAATGAAAAGCTTCAATTGTTTTGTTTGATTGATGGGAGTTCTGGAAAGAAGCTCTTCGCCCAGCAGATGAAGGTGCGAGGAGGCAGGAGTCCTCTTCCTCTCAGCAGCCATCAGAACGAGACGCTTTGATTAGCTGTTGTTCTTGTACTCCTGCTGAGCCTCAAGGAGCAGCTCTGCTGAGGGAGATTGCCCCTTGCAGCTAAAAGGATATGAACCCCCCCCCCCCACTTTCACCCTCCCCTTCTTTTTTTAAGAGTTCGTGACATTTCTCAGAAAAAAACAAAAAACAACAACAACAAAAAAAAAACCAGCTCACTTTGGGTCCCTTCGTGGCATACAACTTCTGTTTTCAGCATCGATCCGTAAGAGACACACAGAAACGGGCCGCATTATGAGGGAATCTTTCAAGCCGACTGCCATTACGTTAATGTGCTTCTCGCCGCCTCTGGCTTGATTTTCTTTCTGTAATATTTATTTTTAATGCTTCTAGCACCTCTGAATTGTGTTTCGCAT